ACAACAAAAGACCAACTTTTGTTCTATCATCCTCAATATATTCATATGTAGTTACCTAGCTGTCCACTACCTATTTATTTTCGATTCACCATATACAAGTGCATGTCTAGGGAGAAGAGGAGACTGCATATGAATCATGAACCAAAATCATAGGCTGTCTGCCCTGGTGATCTTCAATCTCCGCACAGAAGGTAAGAACACCCTACAAATTAAAGAAAATAAATTAATATTAAGGCTTTTATGTTTGTAGCTGCTTTCTTGCTACTTGGTGTAAACAGAGAATGGTTCATGATTAAAACAAAGAAGAAGATTAAAACGAAGGAACCTACTCCCAGGGAACATCCCCAACAATCAACCAATCGCCCTCTTTGTCTTCATATGTCAGCACATGTTTTTTCCCGGAAAGTTCAACGTCCATTTCAGGGCCTGCTTAATCATCTTCAGCTTAATTATTATATACTCTCCATTAATAAAAATAAAATAAAATTGCATTGCCATGGAAATGGATCAACAGAAAAAGAAGACACTTAACAGAGAATGCTAGTGTTGAACATGTGGTCAAGACTCTGTATCAAGTCATGGTAACCATCGTGGGCTAAGAGGTTCAGTTTCCTTCCAATTTGAATGCCTTCCATGTACACCTTGACGAATAAAGTGGAACTACTGCACTCATTTTCTTCTGATGTTACTGCCTTCCCTGGAGACGGCTTGATAGGCGGCCAATCCAATAGTTGCTCACTGGATTGATTCGTATGACATCACCAAAAATTAATAATTGAAGAAGATTACCGATAAATTTCTTCAAATGGGAGCTATTGGTTTATTGAATAATTAATTAGAGACACATGTACCTTGGTGTAGAAGGGTTGTCCTGTCGAGTGGTCGATATGCCCAGTCCAAGCCTTAGATCTGTGCTAAGGTCCCTCTGTACCTGAGGGAAAGAAGACTCGCCGGAGACAGATGGGTAGCTGCTGCTTTCGAAAGATGATGAAGAGCTAGAGGCAGCTCCTCTGCCCATTTTTTGAGATGTGAAGCTAATGAAGCCGCCACCTTAGGTTCAAATATATAGATAGCATAGAGAGCATAACACGCTTATGAATATGAATATGGTGGGGAAGGGCATCTCCTCATGCAGGTCACGGCCCTGATATGTTGTCCATGTAGCCGGCATCTACACGTGTCAAGTTGAATCCTGCTTACAAGGTGTCGTGATTTCTGTCCGAGCTTGAATTCAATGTGGTTCATGTGCATAAAGTCTACATATATCGGTCGCTTATTCGCAAATTATTTTACTTTATAGGCCTATTGTAGTACTCTCTTTGCTCGGATTTTCCTAAAACTCATCATTGGTTTATAGCTCAATGATTCTCTAGAAGAAAGGGAAATTAAAAAGAAGTGCGAAGAGACCTCGATCATTCAATTCTTCTATACAATTTTCATTCAAGAAATAATTATTTTGACTCCTAAATTGAGATAATTGATAAGATATTGTAGGGGTTTTATTTTATTTTATTTTATGTAGTGATCATATTAGAAATTATTAGGTATTTTCGAAGCAATACAAATATTGGTGTTGCAAAGCGTTTTAATGACTATATCAAGAACTATTTTAACATTGGAAAGATGACTCTGCAGGCATGGTTGATGAAGACTATCTCTTGAGGATAGTTGAAGAGATGAATGTAGACAAACTAGGGATATTCAGATAGGATACAAAGGCATCGGCATTCGAGGCCCTTCTCCAAAAAAAAAAAAAAAAAAACATTGAAGTTGCCACACAATCTCAGGCCAATGTTCAATGGATTAGATTATCGAGCGGCGCATGAAGGCCTTGGGTACAGTTACATAATTAAGGGTACTGGTGGTGGTGAGACTACGGCTTGTTTGGTAGTAATTGGTTTTTAGAATAATTTTTGTTTTGAAATATATTAAAATATTTTTTTATTTTTAGAATTAAAAAATTTTAAAAAATTTAAAAAATTTTTAAAAAAAAAACGAAATATATTAAAATGTTTTTTTATTTTTAGAATTAAAAAATTTAAAAAAATTTAAAATTTTTTTAAAAAAAAAATCAAAACTTTATGAAAAACTATACAACCATCCCAAACGGCCATATGCTATTATGTATGGTGACATGATAGCACACTTCAACATGATGCATCATTACATTTTAATACCATACTAGAAATAAACTCTCAGGTTGCTTTGATAATTAAAATCTTTATATTCTTTTTTTATTTAGTAAATTTGTACATTTTAAATCATAAATATACCTATTTTCTAACATTTATCATGCAAACGTTTTTATAAAAGGAAAAAAGCTTAATTGAGAAAAGAGATTGTTTACTAAATTAATATTTATTCTTGTAATAGAAAAAAAATTGTACATTATTAGTGTTAAATATTTTGCATTGCTAATTTACATGTCAAAAATTACAATCGTAAAACTATCAATTGCATACGAAATATATTTTATTGATGGTGGTGACTAAATTTAATATCAAAGTTTATTGTTGTCTAAAAATGTGTCATTCATAAGAGAATATAAAATCCAAAAATTTATAAGATATTATTCTTAAAAAATAGAAATTAATGAGATATCATCACAGCAATAAACTTAATTTAAGAAGTTTATGTCCTTAGATTTAGAACCTTAAGATTCATTAATTATCTAAGTCATTAACTTTGTCTAATATCTAGTATATATTTCATTATCATATACTATTATATTTAATGTTTGTGTGGGTGATTGTCTATATAAAAAGAAGTGACATTTTAGTGTTATCTGGATATTCACTGAAAATATTTATATTTTAAAAAAAAAATTGTTAGCTTAGTCCTCAATGTATTCTAAAATTTAATCAGAAAATAAATATTTTATGAAATTTTCATAATGCTTTTTTTAAATATATTTAGCATTAATTTAAAAAAAACATGTATAGATTTCCAGTAAGTATCTTATTATGTTTTTTAAAAAATACATTTTAAATAAATTTAGTTAAGATTATAAGTAATTTTGTTTTTTTAATTACATTTGAATGCCTTTTAAAAATATTTTTTCACAATACAATTTGTAATAATTTACTATTGCATAATAAGTCAGTATTTTTTGTAGGTTAGAGATGACACCTCACATATTTCGTTGCAACATCAAAGTACATCACAGGAAAATGAAGCTGTTCTACAGTATATGGGAGACACCTGTGAAAACTTTTTATTTTTAAAAAGGAATGCCATTGCCATGTGAGCCCTAAGTGTTGAGCTACTGATCACTATTGAGTAGTCAAATACATTGACAGAATCTAAGCCCTGTGGCCAAATTATTGTATAACAGGCGTCAATGACTGAATTATAATAGTGGTGTTTTTAGCCCTAAAAAAAAATTGAGCTCATCGAACTACCTAAAGGATATATTTATATTTTTATATGGTTTATTTATCGTTTTAAAATGGTTAAGAAGCATTTATGTCCTTTTCTAGATTTTTGGTACAATGAATTTATTTTAATACTTTTAAAAGCAAAATATTACTTAACTGGAAAAGAGGTATTTATTGTTTTTTTTAACGTGGTATAATAACTTTATCACTTTTAAAATTAAAATTCTCAAAGCATGTTTACAAGATTTAATAATTTTATAACAATAATTATTTGATCACATGAATAATGTTATCTTTTGATATATATATATATATATATATATATATATATATATATATATATAATTAAGTTATTAATATATCAGCCACTCTGTAATCTTTGACCAACATATATAGTTAACTTTGATAGTAAAAAAAAAATTATATTATGTCATTTGATGTATCTTGATATTTTTTTTTATTTAAACAATATATGTATAGTAATTCTATTTGATTTGATATTAATTTGATTTTTTTTCTTTTTGTTTCTCTCTCCTCTACTTTTGTTTGTACACTTTCCATATAAAAAATCATAACAACCTTCATTTTTTTCGTACAAATTTAATTTATATTCTTTGAATTGCAATTGTTTTATTTGAAAAAATCACTTTAAATTGAAAAAAATTTCAATTTTATCCTCTTTCAGTTTCTTATCTCTTAAATATGGTCTTTATTCTTTTGATTTTATTATTTTTATTTGGGATGGTTTATAAAGTTTATTTATTTCTTGTAATTTCATATTTGTTTTTTTTCTTCATGTTTGATCCTTATTTTTTTTATTGATATTTTTTTTTCTATTTCTATCCTTCAAAATTAAATTTGAATGGGAATTGGGTTTCTTGTTTAAGACCAAGTCTAAGATTTCACAGGTTGAGATTTTAAAAATTAAACCTGGTTTAGAATATTCACCTGAATATGCGTGTTTTTTTATGTTATTAAATTGGGGTTGTTTACACATACAGACACACCAAACTTATTAAATTTAATCAACTCAACGACTCGAGTCTTAAATTTCTTTTAATTATTTGAAAATCCTAGTATCGCCTTAACTTTTTTCTTTCTTAAGATGACAAATTTGTGTCATTTCAAGGCTTTGCATAGATCATTGATATAATTTTGCTCTAGTTTTTTTTAAAAAAATAATTTTTTTCACTTTTAACCTTTAATATTTGGTTTATTATAATTAAGCTTTGTATTTTGTTTCGTTATCGGTTTGATGGTTTTATCATTATCTCATACCTATATTACGGGTTTTGCATAGTAATCATAGTTATTATGAGTCGATCTAGTTATCATTGTCTTAATACCATTTTTTTTTTTAATATCATGCAATGTTTCATCAATCAAGTATTTAAAAAGTGTTTCAAGTTTCAACCCGTATAAATCAGGTGTTTTACTTTCTAACATCTTGATATCTTTTTAGGTTAAAAAAATATTAAAAAAAAAAACCCAATCCACTATAAAATTGAACTAAATTTAGCTATTAAAGTTTGCAATCGCTAACCTATAAACTTAAAACATCAGAGATAGAGAACTTAAACCATCAAAGAGAAATAACTTAATTTTTACTAATTATCAAGCTAGAAGCTCTTTAGTTCATGATAGGAACACATCAACCTAAATAAGATAGCTAATGTTCTCAACAAGAACATACTAAACTTAGATTTAGGTATCTAAAGTCATATGTAATTGTAGGTAAGTTTGGTTAATATAAAAAACCAAATTATATAGCATATAAAAATAATTAAGGGTTATGATGAATTGAATGTCAACATAATTAAAGTTAAAAATAAAAAGCATCTATTATATTGTATTTTCTACATAAGTTAATCAGTCATCTTAGTAAAGATATTCTTAAAAAGAAAAGAAGATATTAATTTTTTATAGAGTCCTAAAAAAAAAGGAAAATATTTCAAGAAAGAGGCATGCTTTAACATCACATCTAATTTGGCTATGCTTTTCTTCTTCTTTTTTTCATTTATTTATTTTCTTTTCTTTTCTTCTTGCTGACCCTCCCTATTAGGCTTTTGTGTCGTATCTTTACTATTTCTTTTATCATAAGTTAATTTGCTTCCATTCAGCCTCCTACAATAGCATATCCTTTTATTATATTGTATTTTGATTGCAATTAGGTTTACCTTACACTTTAGTTGTATATAATAGTTTGTTTGGTTGTGGGTACTGGAAAAAAATAAATAAATAAACAAAACTTGTACAATCTTATTATATCTTTGTTATATGTTGTAATGTACACACATACACATGCATTTATGCATATACAAATTTGCTTTATGTTCTTGATCTAAAATCACACCAAAATATATGTAATTACATATTCAAATCTCTTAATTATAGAAAAAGATTATTAAATCCATTTATTCTATATTTGTTAAATATGTTGAGCAATCTACTAATTTATGCAATTATCCTAAGTGATTTGCAACTGTCAATTTGCTTCTACTAAGAATTTTGCTTTTGCCAATACTCCCTCTCTAGCTAGATCAAGAAGATTGAATTGTCAAAACTTGAATTGTTAAAACTTGGAAAGTAACTGATGGAATTTAGCTGAAGACAAAGACTTGCTTAAGATGTCTACAAGTTGATCCTGACTCTTAAGTATAGTGAGCTGTCATTATTTGAGATTGAACTTTTTCTCAAATGTAATTGCAGTCAACATCAATATGTTTAGTTCTTTAATGGAAAACTGGATAAGACGCAATTTGCATGGCAACTTGATTATTACAGTAAAAAAACATAAGCTAAAAACAAAAACAAAAACCTAAATCCTTAGGAAATGTCTTCATCCATATAAGTTTAGAAGTAGTGGATGTTATAACACAATATTTTGCTTTTGCGCTAGAACAAGCAACAACCAATTGTTTTTTGCTTTTCTATGAAACCAGATTTTTCCCAACAAATATACAATATCAAGTGGTTGATTTGTGATCAAAAGTGTTTCCTACCTAATCTACATTAGTATATCCAAGTACCTGAGTGTAACCATTATTTTTCATGAATAAATCATGTCTAATAAACCCTTTAATGGATCGAAGAATCCTTTTAACAATCAATATATTATTTGTAATAGGAGCATGCATGGATTGGCTAACAAGATTGATTGTATGACTTATATTGGGTTGCGTATTTATAAGATAAATAAGTTTCCCTACCATCCTTTGAAAAATTTGCAGTTGGTGAAGAAGTTCACCTTTCATGGTCATTTATAATTTGTTATCCAAAAGAGTAATGACATGCTTACAGTTAAGCATATCAGCCTCTTATAGCAAATCAATAATGTATTTTTTTAGTTTAAAAACAGCCCTTTATGTGAAGTCGATATTTCTAAACCAAGAAAGTATTTGAAAACATTAATATCTTTGATAACAAATTTATGATGAAAAACTAGTTTAAGATTAGCAACAACAACAAGATTAGTATAAGTGTCAATGAGATCATCAATACAAATTAACACCACCAACCTTTTACCTCATTTTGTTTGAACAAATAGAGAATGATCAACATTGCTTCTTTTGAACCCATTTTCTTCAAATGTTATACATAATTTGGCATACCAAGCATAGAGAGATTGTTTTAATCCATAAATGGATTTTAGTTTAGCATACCAAGCACAAAGAGATTGTTTTAATCCATAAATGGATTATGTAATCTGTAAACCAATTTAGGATCACAATTATTTAGATGTCTAGGTAGCTTCATATATATATTCTCTTGAAGATCACCATGCTAGAAGGCATTCTTGACATCCAGTTAAGATAATGTCCAGCCAAGATTTATAGCAATGGAAAACAGAATTTTGATAATATTTATTTTTACAACAGGTTTAAAAGTTTCTTAGCAATCTATACCAAATGTTTAGGTGGACCCCTATACAACTAATCGTGTTTTATCTCTTAATGGTGACATCTGCTCTAAATTTAGTCTTGTATATTCATCGGCAACCCATGACCTTTTTTCTCTTTTGGAAAAAATACAACACTCCAAGTGTTATTTTCATTTAAAGCTTGAAGTTCATGTTGTGTTATCTTTTACCATTTTTCTTGTTGATTAGCTTCATAAAAACTTTAAGGATCTGGCCTCTTGGATATAGCATTGACATAGACAACATGTGATGAAGAAAGTTTATGATAAGTTAAAGCATTATTTATTGGATATATACAATGTAAGTGACAAAGTCCTGAAGTTTAGATGGTGGATATCGATTATAAATTAAATGGTGTCTACAGGAAGCTTCAGATTTATTAACAGAGGTAGCTGTTATATTTTTATCAACAGTTTCATATGATAAAGGATCAAAATCAATACAATGTCATATATTTATGGCGTCGAATGACAAGTCTGAATGATTTGTATCATCATTTAAAAGTGGTAGTGGAAAAAAATGAATATGAACTCCTATTTGTTAATTATACTGGAATAAAAGTAATATGCAGTGCTCTCATCAAAGTGTATATCCCTAGTCACCAACAACTTTTATGAGTTCGGATAATAGCATTTATATCTCTTTTGGGTAACTAAATAACCCAATAAAATATATTTGATAACTTAATGGTCTAGTTTGTCCTGTTATGAGGGTTAAATGTGTAGATAGCATAAACACTTAAAAACTCTAAAATGCATCAAATTTAGAATTTTTTCTGTTAATAACTCAGCATGAGAGGTAAAATTTAAAGTTCCACCAGGTAATCGATTTATAAGGTAACTAGTTGCAAGTACCTCTTATGACCAAAAATTTTTAGAAACATCATTTATATCATTAATGATCTTATTTTTTCTAAAATGTCTTGATTTTTTCTTTCTACTGCTCCATTATATTGTGGAGTTTACACATAGCTAGTTTGATGAATAATGTCATGCATGCTCAAGTATTGTGTCATGATGTGTGACATATATTCAGTGTCATTATTTGATTGTATAGTTTGTATTATGGATACGAATTGGGTTTTGATTAAATTACAAAAGTTTTAAAAAATAGTTGTGACTTTATTTTTTTATTTTAAAAAATATTGACAAGTAAATCACAAATAATCATTAATAAGTATAACAAAATATTTTTTTTTCCATCAAAAGACATTAAAATTAGACCCTAGACATCAGAATGTATCAAGTTAAATGGTTTATTAGAATGAAAAGTAGAAAAAAAAGGTAGACATGTAGATTTGATAAATGATAAACATGATAATTTATTGAATTATTGTTCAAATAAAAGAATAATTTATATAAAATAGGTTCTAGAGGATCAAATGTTGATGCCATGGTTTATTTTTTCCCCTCATAATCTAAACTAATATTGAAGTGAAGTCGTTTAGATATGCAAGAGTCTATTTGAAGATAACAAAGACCTTAAAAAAAAAATCCCACATCATTCATCTCTTGATGGTTAGATCGTGAAACAGAATATTATGAAAAGAAAAAAATAGCAACACAATTTAGCATTATAGTAATTTTCTTAATTGATAGCAACTTAAAAGTAAATGAAAAAATATATAAAATAAGAGATATAATTGTTTAAGAGAATAGTTTCATGTAACATTGTTCTGATTCCCATATATCTTCTTTATTGTCTCCTATAGATCAACAATAAATTTTGAGTAACTAAAAATTTCTATAATATAAGGTTTTATAGTGTTGAGTAGCCATGATTAAATCATCTAATCATTTGAAAACTAAGATTTATATTAAGATTACTTGACATCATAAACAACATTGCTTTTATTAATGAAAGTTAATTTTAGATCTTACTCTAAGAACTAATGACACAACCCTAAACCAAGAAAGATAATTTAAATAACAATGATAAAATCATTCAACAATATTGAACACAAACATTGATTTGTATTGACATTAGAATTGTTTGATAAAGAAAAAACAACCAAGATCTCCATCCCAAATGAAAAGACAAGTAAATATTAACCTGTTGTGGTACCATGAAGAAAAATAAAAGGAAAAATAAAACATTTGCAATCTTATTATATTTTTGTTATACATTGTAATGTGTGTGCACATACATACAAGTCTATTTTATGTTGTTGATATAAAATCACACAAGAATATATGTAATTACATATTCAAATGTCTTAATTGTAGGAAGAGCCTATTAAACCCATTTATTCTGCATCTGCCAAATATGCTAAGCAATCTGCTAGCATATGCAATTATCCCATTCACGTGCAATCTAGTCGTCCTAAATTGGAGACCTGTAATCAACTATTTTGGGAACACAAGAACAAGGTGTAAAAGGAAGGAAAGACACGAGAGTGATTACATTCTTCCTTTCTTCTTCAATTCAATCTCTCATTCACGTGTAAATCCATGGGTCACATGCTAATCCCTGATTCAAATTCATACTCCATCTTCTTTAACGCAGGGGGGAACATGAAATCTCCGCTTGGGATTTCAAACAAAACAAACGGCGAGAAAAAGAATAGGTAAATGTCCCCCGCCACCCCTACCAAGGTTGCTTAGATTTGACATTATAGGACCTTTCCCTTGCTCCAACGACTTTTTGGTCTCTAAAATGCCACTAGTATTTTGTGTTTTAACCCAAAGGCATTAGCTACTAACCTTACCACTAAGCCTCGGTGTCCTTGGTTTCCCATAGCAAACCCTGTGATTTTTCTCTCCTCGTCTAGCTGTGTGCTTCAATGC